ACAGAACACCCAAAGGGGGGTTCAACGGGGAAAGGCACGAAATTCCCCCCCCCCCCCCCCCCCCAACAGACCGTGACAGAGAAACTGTAGTTGTAAAGTATCAGATAAACGGTTAGCTACAAATGTACCGCAACATAGTTGAACGAAAGGATTTCCATTCGATTAGCAAAAGTAGAGCCATCGTGTTTCGCATTTTTAATTACGCAAGGGATTGCACTAACAGCTTTTTTCAGAGTATGATGATGGAACTATTATTCATGTAGGCAATAAAAGTTGAAATATTTCAACCTTTTGAATAATATGACTAAACCTAAGAGAGATTAGTCAATTTTTCTCCATGTTTTTGTACAGAACCAAGAATTTGTCGCGATCCAATATATTAACTATGATTATGTGTATTTTTCCTCTTATATAAAATCGTGCAAGAAACAAGACAGCAGCTATTTTATTAGAAAACTTGTTAATATTTTCATTAGACGCCATGGATTACAAATTGTTGATTTTGATTGTTTTTCTATTTACATTATTCATTAAAATTCAAACAGGTGAACCAGGTGACAATCAATCTGATGCAAACAGTAAGTACAAGTTTATTTTGTATAAATATATAATAAAGTATATATTTCTGTTTTTTAGTGGACAACATAATTGAATTCATGTTACGTGAAGCTCGTAGTTTTGGTTGTAATGGATATAATAAAATCCATATATATAAATGCAAAATGAATTGTCAACGTCGACATTCCAGCGGTATTCGATGTATTAAATCATCACATGGAATACTTTGTGTGTGCGCTACAAAATCTTCATGAAAATCTAAATATCAATCATTATAATAAGTCATATAAACATCAAAACTTTTCAATTATTTTCTTTTTATTTAAATCTTAATAAAAGTTGTCAAAATCACAGATTGATAAAAGCAGAAATTGACGACTGTCTCACGTACGATATCTTCAGGGCTGTCGCGACTCACTTAGGATGGGGGGGGGGGGCGATTTTAGGATATATGGAAACTTCTTAAATAACATTGATTCAAAAATGAATTTTTCCCTTGTCTCAACTATACATTTATTCTACTCAAAAATGATCAATCAAGAAAATGTGCTTAATTTTATTCTATAATATACATATGTTCAATTTTAGTTTACAATAAAATATTTTACGAAGACAAGATGAAATATTAATAATGTTCAAAATTTTGTAATAAAATATTATTTATCACAAGTAACTTTTACACGTCGATTTTTCATTTGACCCCATTCAGCAGCCATTTTGTCAAGATCTGCTGTAGAAAGTATATCACTTTCTACAACACATAACATCAAATGAACAAATTTTTCGTTTTTTAATGCATTTCTTAAGTAGTTTTTAATAATTTTCATTTTGGAAAAACTTCTTTCATTTGATGCCACCGTAACAGGTAACGTAATAAGAAAATTATATACAAGTGATGCACGAGGATACGCATGACCAACTGTTCTTAAATGTCCAATAACTTGATCGATTGTTGTGCAAACCGAAATAGCTTGACGTAGTAATTCGAATTCCGTTAAAACTAATGATGGAGATGAAAGTCCAGGTACTATGGAACATAGTTGTTCAGCATCATTTAATGAAAATTGTTTTATACGATCTGGTGAAAGATTATGAAAATAACGTAATTTATTTGTTATTGTAACAAGATAATCATCAAATCCAGAATACAGATGATCTAATACTTGTCGCATTAATTTTGTATAATATTGATCTCTACAAGTATTAAAAAGAATGTGTTTGTTTTCAAATAGTTATAATTTACCTTGTTAATGTAACAGCAGTATTTTGATTGTTATCAATACGTTGAGACAGTTTTCGAGGTCTATGAAGTTTTTGAAATTCCATATCAATATCTATATCAAATGTTTCAGCACGTCGAACAATTCGCTGCAAAAATACAGAAATAGAAAACAGTGTTTTATTTAATGCTAACAATAGCAATACTTACTTGAATCATATTAATCATAGTGACATCATCATTTCTCATATTCTGAATAAGTTTTAACGTATTAGAAATAATGTCGATTGCAGATATAATATCAAGTTGTTTTCCTTGTAAATGAGAAGTAAGTGCATGAGTTACGCGTGTTACATTAATCATAAAAAATAATCGGAACATAGTTTCAAATGATAATAATTTCTGTTTAAGACATTTGGCTTGATATGCATCATCTTTATGAGTTACTTCTTCACTAATTATAGATAAACTTTCAACAATTTGTTCAAATGAAACATCAACAGCATGTAATGTTTGAAAATTGGCAGTCTATAATAGAAAACTTGATCATAAGTGTTAAATAAAACTAGCTAACACTTGCCCATCGTGTATCAGCAAGGCTTTTTACTAATAAACCGAATTCAGAAGATTCCAATTCTTGTCGAAGAACATAATGACGCTTAATGCTTTTAGTAAAATAATTATATATTTCTTGCAAAAGATTAAATAATGAAATAAGTTCCGTTCCACAATCACAAGCATATTTAACTACCAGATTCGATGAATGTGCACTACAGGGTATGAATATTACTTCACGACTTAGTTTATCATTAACACACGCTTGAACACCTTTGTTGACACCAGACATATTATTAGCATTATCATAACATTGAGCAATTAATTTATTCGTTGAAATATTGAATTGTCTTAAAACATCGAAAAGCGTATTTGATATATCAAGACCTACCTTGCTTGGTAATTCAATTGCTGTTATCAGTCGTTCTTCAACATTGAAATCATTTTTATATCGAATAACAATTGTATAAATTTCTCGATGTGATGCATCTGGTGTACTATCTATCATTATTGAATAGAACGGTGACTTATTAAAACGATCAATTATGGTTTGCTGGACATGTTCACCCAATAATTTGATAAATTCATCTTGTGACTGACTACTTAAATATGATACCTATATGCAGTCGTACAGTATGCACGAGCTTACCCTAGTTAAACTATATTTCTTACTTGATACTTTTCAATCTGTTTCTGGTTGAACCAATCATCAAATAATGCATCACGACGTCGTAAAAGGTTGATCAATTGGATAAAATTACCTATATTATGATAGAAAAAAGTATGTTAGGTAAATTTTAAAGAACTAACAATTAATTTTCATTTCTAAGTTGTTTATTGTTTATCGTTATAGATTGCTAGATGCTACTAACTATTCCTAATAAGTTCCAAATAGAAACATGTACATACTATAGATTTCATTTAATGCTTAACTTAAACTTGAAGGCATAAAAATTATATTTGCAAACCTAGAAAAGTAATGTCTTTAGATAACGTCTTTCGTCATCAATTTATCTGATACATAGCCTTAAGATCAAGAGTTCCTGTTGCATTATTAGTATGTTATCTGTTATCTTCACTTTATAGATACATGAGAAAACTAATTGATTTATTAGATTAAGCGAGAGAAAAATATATTTTAATTCTAATTTTATATTCGAGTTCCTATTCTTAAAAAAATTATTCAAATACCCTGATTATTCGATTCGGTCTTATTGTTTTAATTACTTTACCCTCTTCAGCTGGTTCACGACGAAATGCTAAACCTTGACTACATAAAAATCGGGCCGAATCAATTAATGTAATAATAATATTTTTATTTCTTTCAAGTATAGCTGTTTCTTGCCCAAGCAGACAAAAATTTTGAAAAACCCGTTTAAACGCATAAACGGGAACCGCGATTGTGAGCTATTCATGCTAATTATTAAAATGCCAGAAATGCCGTTTTTTGCCTGAAATTATCACTTTTAGTGCGTTTACGCGATCGAAAACTCGTATTTTCAGCGTTTACACGCATATTAATTCCGAAATTTAAAAAACGTGCGTTTAAACGCTGTAAATACAAGTTTTTGATCGTGTAAACGCACTAAAAGTGATAATTTCAGGCAAAAAACGGCGTTTCAGGCATTTTAATAATTAGCGTGAATGGCTCACAATCGCGGTTCCCGTTCGTGCGTTTCAACGCGTTTTTCAAAATTTTTGTCTGCTTGGGCCCCGCCCCCCCCCC